TGGACGTTCATCATACACCATCTACTGACATTACTCCATACTGGACGTTAATCATACACCATCTACTGACATTACACTCTACTGGACGTTCATCATACAACATCTACTGGCATTACCGTGTACTGAACTTTCATCATACACCATCTACTGACAGTACTCTGTACTGGACATTCATCATACACCATCTACTGACATAACTGTGTATTGTACTTTCATCATACACCACCTTCTGTCATTACTCTGTACTGGACGTTCATCATACACCATTTACTGATATTACTCCATACTGGACAGTCATCATACACCATGTACTGGTATTACTCTGTACTGAAAGTTCATCATACAAAATCTACTGACATTAAGGCTGTAATGGACAGTCATTATGCTCCATCTACTGGCATTAGTCCATACTGGGCATTCATTATACACCATCTACTTACATTACGCTGTACTGGACGTTCATCATACGCCATCTACTGACATTACTCCATACTGGACATTCATCATACACCATCTACTGGCATTACTCTGTACTGGACATTCATCATACACCATCTACTGGCTTTACTCTGTACTTGACATTCATCATACACGATCTTCTGGCATTTACCTGTACTGGACATTCATCATACACCATCTGCAGACATTACTCAGTACGGAACGTTTATCATACACCATCTACTGGCATTACTCTGTACTGGACGTTCATCATACACCATCTACTGTCATTACTCCATACTGGACGTTCATCATACAACATCTACTGGCATTATTGTGTACTGTACTTTCATCATACACCCACTACTGACATTACTCCATACTGGACGTTCATCATACCGCATCTACTTACATTACTCTGTGCTGGACGTTCATCATACACCATCTACTGACATTACTCTGTACTGGACGTTCATGATACACCTTCTACTGACAGTACTCTGTACTGGACGTTCATCATACACCATCTACTGACATTACTCTGTACTGGACGTTCATCATACACCATCTACTGACAGTACTCTGTACTGGACGTTCATCATACACCATCTACTGACAGTACTCTGTACTGAACGTTCAACACACACCACCTACTGGCGTTACTCAATAAATCCAGTGATCTACAGCATGAGCATTGATCTATGGAATTCGGATATGATGACATGTGTTCAGTTCTAACCCAGATCTTCATGGGTCAAAGCAAACAAGAATGCATCATTGGCAGTTTATTCCCATTTTATTTCCAAAAGATTATCAACCTTTATTAATGAATGCAACTCATCTGATCCCATAAACAATCATAAGGCTGTGAAAAATGCACATTAACTTCAAGCAACATATAAAACAAGTCTTTACCTATCTGGGCTTCATGCATACTTGTGTGAACATCAAACATGATCAAATCAAGAAGTAAACTTGTGTTGACACAGAATCAGTTTTCATCATATGAAGAGAGCATCCACCGATTCACTACAACCAATGTTTTTCTTTACCAGTTGTAGCATTTTAGTGAATTTATGGCAATATGAAGAGACTGAGAGTATTACATTCAATAACAACAACAAATGCCCTAAAGTAAGATACAGTACAGATACAATAAAACTAGCCATGAAGCATTTTCAGATGCTGAATGAGTGTATGAGTGATGTAATGCTTCACTCAGCTACTGCACAGCATAAATCATGGCAGGCGAAATAATTCAGTCTGACTGAAAGCCTGTGCAATGTTCTTTGCCACCTCTTACACTGGGAAGCCAGGTAAAAGAGGGCCTAATGCTGACCTTTGTGAGAGTAAGTGCTTGTCATGCTGCTACTAGGTTTTAAGTGGATGTAACCATCCTCCATTTTGGCACAAAATGTTTTAAGTTCTTGAGGTCTGTGACCAGAAAGAACCTGCTTGCAAAACATGCATTTCCACACAAAATAGTCCAAAGCTCCACAAACGCAAAATTACTGTAATGCCATTAATTGCTTTTGATCAGTTAACAGAATTTTTGTTAGTTTTCTCAATGTTGGTTGCTATCAATTTTGCTGCAGCAAAACCACAAACTATTACCAGTGATTCCTACCCCAAATTAGTGTAATTAGGAATCTGAGCTCCCTAGAACAGAAAAAAATTAGGAATTTTCACAACAAATTAGGGATCCCTATAAATTGTTGCTCTTAAGGAACGAAACTTTTCAATGCCATTACACAGTGATCCTTATACAACTGAAACCGGTTTGCAGTATTCGCAGCAGCATTTGTGAATGTTAAGTGAATAAAAACAGTGCTGGAATTTATCAGGCAGCCTACTCAACTTCCAGATTACTTTCTTGTGTAAAATTTGAGAAATTTCTGTAAACATAGTATTCTATATATTTAACTATCATTATTTATAGTCAAAGATGATCGTGAGCCCCTATCTATATCTTTGTTATATTTTGAAAAAATTGGAATGAATTTGGCTTTGGCTGATTCAAATGCATTTTTCAGGATGATAACGATAAATTCGAGGGTTGGCATCTCTATACTACCTGCTTTAATTACATAATGTGTAATAAGATATTGGCCTGTGATACATGTTCCACATCCTACTTCCATTACATCATGTGTAAAAAGATATTGGCCTGTGATATGTGTTCCACATCCTACTTCCATTACATCATGTGTAATAAGAGATTGGCATGTGATACGTGTTCCACATCCTACTTCCATTACATCATGTGTAATAAGAGATTGGCCTGTGATACGTGTTCCACATCCTACTTCCATTACATCATGTGTAATAAGAGATTGGCCTGTGATACGTGTTCCACATCCTACTTCCATTACATCATGTGTAATAAGATATTGGCCTGTGATATGTGTTCCACATCCTACTTCCATTACATCATGTGTAATAAGATATTGGCCTGTGATACGTGTTCCACATCCTACTTCCATTACATCATGTGTAATAAGAGATTGGCCTGTGATATGTGTTCCACATCCTACTTCCATTACATCATGTGTAATAAGAGATTGGCCTGTGATATGTGTTCCACATCCTACTTCCATTACATCATGTGCAATAAGAGATTGGCCTGTGATACATGTTCCACATCCTACTTCCATTACATCATGTGTAATAAGAGATTGGCCTGTGATATGTGTTCCACATCCTACTTCCATTACATCATGTGCAATAAGAGATTGGCCTGTGATACATGTTCCACATCCTACTTCCATTACATCATGTGTAATAAGAGATTGGCCTGTGATATGTGTTCCACATCCTACTTCCATTACATCATGTGCAATAAGAGATTGGCCTGTGATACATGTTCCACATCCTACTTCCATTACATCATGTGTAATAAGAGATTGGCCTGTGATATGTGTTCCACATCCTACTTCCATTACATCATGTGCAATAAGAGATTGGCCTGTGATACATGTTCCACATCCTACTTCCATTACATCATGTGTAATAAGAGATTGGCCTGTGATACATGTTCCACATCCTACTTCCATTACATCATGTGTAATAAGAGATTGGCCTGTGATATGTGTTCCACAACCTGCTTCCATTACATCATGTGCAATAAGAGATTGGCATGTGATATGTGTTCCACATCCTACTTCCATTACATCATGTGTAATAATAGATTGGCATGTGATATGTGTTCCACAACCTGCTTCAGTTACATCATGTGTAATAAGAGATTGGCATGTGATACGTGTTCCACATCCTACTTCCATTACATCATGTGTAATATGAGATTGGCCTGTGATATGTGTTCGACAACCTGCTTCAGTTAAATCATGTGTAATAAGAGATTGGCATGTGATACGTGTTCCACATCCTGCTTCCATTACATCATGTGCAATAAGAGATTGGCACGTGATATGTGTTCCACAACCTGCTTCAGTTACATCATGTGTAATAAGAGATTGGCATGTAATACGTGTTCCACATCCTGCTTCCATTACATCTTGTGTAATATGAGATTGGCATGTGACATGTGTTCGACAACCTGCTTCTTCAAGTTAAATCATGTGTAATAAGAGATTGGCATGTGATACGTGTTCCACATCCTGCTTCCATTACATCATGTGCAATAAGAGATTGGCACGTGATATGTGTTCCACATCCTGCTTCCATTACATTTTGTGCAATAAGAGATTGGCATGTGATATGTGTTCCACATCTTGCTTCCATTACATTTTGTGTAATAAGAGATTGGCATGTGATATGTGTTCCACATCCTGCTTCCATTACATTTTGTTTAATAAGAGCTTGGCATGTAATACGTGTTCCACATCCTGCTTTTATTACATCATGTGTAATAAGAGATTGGCATGTGATATGTGTTCCACAACCTGCTTCAGTTACATTTTGTGTAATAAGAGATTGGCATGTAATACGTGTTCCACATCCTGCTTCCATTACATTTTGTGTAATAAGAGATTGGCATGTAATATGTGTTCCACAACCTGCTTCCATTACATCATGTGTAATAAGAGATTGGCATGTAATACGTGTTTCACAACCTGCTTCCATTACATCATGTGTAATAAGAGATTGGCATGTAATATGTGTTCCACAACCTGCTTCCATTACATCATGTGTAATAAGAGATTGGCATGTAATACGTGTTTCACAACCTGCTTCCATTACATCATGTGTAATAAGAGATTGGCAATGTCAGGCAACGGTGGAGACTGCATAAAGTTCATGCACAGAGCTGGGCTCATTTCACATCTGTAAGTTAAACATGGGCTTATTTCATGAGCTGACAAATACCAGACATATCCTTGCCTTACTAAATATTGGCCCAATATATTCTCTAGGAGATGACGGAAGTTGGTGTGTATATCTGTGAACAATCACCAGCAATGTGATGACCAACTTTCCTCCACACATGAAAGTCCCCAACTGAGCAGTTTCCAACTGAGTATTCCTTCCAAGTATCACCTGCTTGCACCTGGGTAAGACTCCCATATGCTAAGCATTGACTTATCTACTCATACCAACTGATATATAGTGTGATTTCATATTATTGAAAAAAATTACAAAACAATGATAATCATTGTACATAATGTTAACATCTTTGAATATCTGAATACCTGAACAAACCAGCACTGAATATTGACTTGACATAGTTTGTTGAAGTAAACAAACCCTCATATCAATCAACATCATTATTGAAAAGTGATTCTTTCATGCATGACACATGTCATTCATAAACATTTTACACTCATCAGTCAATCACCATTCTGATAAAATATCAATTTGACTCAAGCACCAGGGAGGTGAAGACAATGTTGTCAACTCTGAGGAGGCATTTTCGCACTCAAGGAGACTCTCCCACAAGAAGCCTAGAATTGATATCCTTAACAACATCTGGTAGATCAACAATACTATCAACAACATAATGAGCTCCACCCTTCCTCAGAATGTCTCTTGATTTCTGCAGTCTCTCTTGGATGTCCCCAGGTGACAGCTGAGCCTCTTGTTCAAGGCTATCTACATTCATGTAGTTGCTGTAGCGAAGCCCGCCAACTCCCCAACATCCTGCTTCCTGAGCCTCCCTATCCCTGATAATGTGTCATCAACTTTAACCACCGACTGAATGGGGTGGACGTCCAGAAGATCGAGGTTTCGATAAACCATGAATGGCTTGGGATCGCACCATTGGCCACCTCATCCCCTGCAACTGTGGCATCAGGAACATACCCCTGTTTCTTTGCCTCGTCAAGGAGGATATCCACCATAGATCGTAGAAAACCTGTTGTCACACCAATCTTGCACCCCAAATCCTTTCTCAAGTTTATCAATTGAGTCCGTAGTGCCGGGGATCAGTTGTCCGTATTGGCGAATCACATCCAGCTGAATGGGTACAAAGGTCTGGAACATATCATCTACATCCTTGTCACATGGATCTCGACCATAAACATCCCTCCATCGAGACCGGACCGAAGGTATCTTGGTGATGGCCTTGATGTGGAGATCTTTTCGCAAAACCCATTGGCTCCGTGATTCTTCCATTGTGATTGGCACTTTGAACTTGTTGAAGACTTCAACAAAGCATACTGCTGGTGCCAAGACGTATTTGTCAGCAGTGGTGCGGCTTCCAATCCAGGATGCATGCCCTCACAGGACCCAATGAGGACCGACAGTAACGAAATGGCTCATAATTTCTGAAAACAGAAATGGATGATATGAGTGTTAATAGCTGTTAATTATTATCATTACAAAGAAGTATACAAGTGAATAATTTTGAATGCCCAGGAGCAACATTGCAGCAATTTGAGACAACCTGTTGAGGGAAACCAAAAAAGATCTAGCAGGGTGGTTTGTTGATGAATTAATTTGCAACACAGCTACGGGTTAGACTAACGCTTAGTCTCTGAATATATATAATTTTGATAGTAACAAGCAGGCCCATTTAAATTGAAAAGGAGCCCCAGGGAAACCACAGATTCAGAACCTGAACCTGAGAAAATCTAGACTTGCTTTATTTAGGGCTTTAGCACTGCAGATAGGGCTAGGCAGTAGGGCAGCTACGGGTGTTAATCCTGTTATTGAGACATACACTGCTCATAACAATGCTTCATAAATGTGCTTCATCTGTCTTTTATGAACATATGCAGGCCCTAGGACACATATCTGATAACCCATAAATACACCATTCCATTTAGAAAGTGGTCAAATGTAAGACGTTATATTTGGCATTGCACTTTCTCAGTAAAGTAAAGATTCTAGTATGGGACTGAACCCAACAAAAGTACTAGAATCTGAACTTTTCTGAGAAAGTGCAATCCCAAATATAACATGTGTCTCACAACCCATGTCGCCAAAGAGTGAGATGCATGTGTGCAGGTATTTTGCATGGAACATTAAGGGACAACAGTGTTCTCTCGCTTTACCAAAAAATTGAAAATTTTATTATAAATTGTATATTTATATACTTATCCTATCTCACGGTATGTACCTCTCCACTTCTTTTACGACCATGTGTGGAAACGTGCTGTAGGCTAAGTTGAATCAAATCTTACTGGCCTCTGACCCGCCCTGACCTCTGCCCTCACTCCGACATCAGCACCTGTCAATCATCTCCGCGTGGAGCTTGCTCAGATGATCATGTGACTACCTGTGCCTGTCATTCTCGTCTTGGAGCTTCCAGGTCGGGTGGGTCGGTGGGTCCTATCGCTGTGAGATAGGATAAGTATATAAATATACAATTTATAATAAAATTTTCAAATTTTAAACTTATCCTATCTCATGGTATGCATAATCCCACGGCTGGTAGGCGGGGTCACAGATTACCCGTTACTACCACCAGGAAAACGATAACCCAAGGAGGCCAGGAGAAAGCACCAACTCCTGATATGCAAACTCCAACTTGAGATGGGTTTCTTCACGTAACCCCTTGGCTTACACAGCACAAAAACTCTAGGGAGGGCTCCCGAATTAATGTGGTTTTCGGCGCAACTTTTGACAAGCAAAAGACGCCAGTTTGGCAAGTAGGCCCCGCCACCCGCGATTTATCAGGTGACCCCAGTGAATTAAAGTCGAGGATCTTAATCTGGCCAGTCCCTGCTTCGAAAATCCCCCCCCACAGACACACGCTGGAAGGCGGTGAAAGAGAGCTCAGAGAGTAGAGGTCAGTAATCGGAGTGTCGATCATCTCTGCATGTAGCACAACACTGGCCTCACAGTCTATCAAGTCATAACTTATGACAGTGCAGACACGCCCTATTCCCATAGGTGAGAATGATCTAAGCCCAAGAGAAAAAAGTACCAAGATATGGATTACATTGATATTTTATATTAGGTACAGAGCAAAACCGACCAAGGAAGGATTGCTTCATCTGCGAACACGGGCCGATGACAATTGCTGCTTAGCCAGGACCAAAGGGCCTAATTGATGTAGACCTTCCACATCTGTAACCGATAGGTCCCTCAGGTAGTGTGAAGCAAACACTGTATCGGATCTCCAAAAACAGCCCTCCATGATGGACTGCAGGGAACAATTTCTGTGAAGAGCCATGGTGGAGGCAAGAGCTCGAGTCTCATGAGGCTTCGCTGTCGACGGTGGAGGTAGGTCAGCAATGGCATAAGCACGCAGGATCGTAGTTCGCATCCAAAACACCAAGGTAGTACAGGAGACTTCCGAGGTGGAGGCAGTAGACAATGGAATGAGCAATCTCTTACGCAGTCTGCGGCGATCCTGTGAGGCAGCTAGGTAAATCCTTAATACACGCACTGGGCATAAGGACAGATCCTCAGTGTCATCTGGGCCCGAGATAGTGGACAACAGCGGAATCGTGAATGTGCGATCCGACTGTCCTGGTAACTCATTCTTGGCGAGAAAATCCCACCGCAAACCAAGGAAAACTCTCACATGTCTAGACCTTTTAAACCGCACCCGAGAAACATCAAGTAGTAATGGCAGTAGCCACCCGTTTAGAATAGCCCTTCGCTGTTAACGACTGATGTAGATGCGCCTAGCGTGCAGATGGAGCGTCAACGGGGACCAATGTAGCTGGTCGGAGTGCGGATGTACCAGGAGATCGGGTCAAACGGGAAGTGGCAGGGGATCTGGTTCGGCTAGGTCTTGAAGGTTTACGAACCATCTTCTGGCCGGCCAATAGGGCGCGACCAAAAGCAGAGTCATCCCCTGAGTTGCGCACAGTTTCACTAATATGCGATGAAGAAGGGCCACTGGCGGAAACGCGGAAACGTGGTCCTCCCACGGAATGGCTAGAGCATCGAGGTCCCAAGCCAGAGGGTCCGGAATCGGTGACACAAACCGAGGCAGCTGATGGTTGAATCGGGGGGCGAAGAGATCTACTGTCTGAAACGTCAATGGAAGGCAAAAGGTCTGGAACACCTGTGGATGTAATTTCCATTCCGTTGGAGAGGGACGACTCGGTAGGGACAGAGAATCTGCGATGACATTCTTCACCCCCGGAATGTGATTTGCTCGTACCAAGATGTGGAGAGAGTCCACTAGATCGAAGAACCGTTTGGTCCACTGCAGCAGTTGAGTAGACCCCGTGGATCCCATCCTGTTGATATGCCAAACCACCGCTGCGTTGTCCGACCGGATCATGAGGGAAGTTGCTCGTAGGACATCCTGCCAGTGACTGATTGCAAGCATCACCGCCCTGAACTCCAGAGCGTTGATGTGACAGGCGCGATCGATGGGAGACCACCGCCCTGCCACTTGTTGATTGAGAAGATGAGCTCCCCACCCGTGTAGAGACGCGTCCACATACAGGTGGTAAGCTGGAACAAACGGCCCTAGGAAACTAGGAAATGGGAATGGAGCTGCAGAGGTAGAGTGATCAAGGCAACGGGATCTCCCATTCTGATGTAAGGCGCTAGAAAGAACTGCAAGGGACGAAGTTGTAGTTGACCCCTGAGGGTCAACGCCTGAGCCGACGTCAAGAGGCCCAGGAGCTCCTTCCACTGACGAAGCGTCCTGGGGTGCGCCAGTGCCAGAGAGACCAATCGCTGTATCTTGCAGAAACGATCCCTCGAGACAAAGAGTTTGTTGACTGAGAGAACAACACACATCCACTCGAGTAGCGACAAGAAAGATAATGACAGGCACAGGTAGTCACATGATCATCTGAGCGAGCTCCATGCTTCTGCGGAGATGATTGACAGGTGTTGATGTCGGAGTGAGGGCAGAGGTCAGGGCGGGTCAGAGGCCAGTAAGATTTGATTCAACTTAGCCTACAGCACGCTTCCACACATGGTCGTGAGAAGAAGAGAGAGGTACATACCGTGAGATAGGATAAGTTTAAAATATGTTGTTTACACAATTAAGTACCATGGTTAATGGAAAGAATGTTTGTCATATTTTAAACTCATAGATGTGATGTTTAACTGCTGAAAGTCAGGTTACACACAAGTGTACTCCGTGCCCCAGGTTTAACAGTACACTTCAACAATTAAATAACTACATAATACAGGGGAAGGGGCACTCAATGTGCACTTAATGGCAGGGGATAATAAACAGTACAACAATGGGTTAACCTTTCTACATGGTAACCACGGAGATCATGTATGCAATGACTGTAGTACAAGACTAAGTCACACATTGTTTCCCCTGTACAAGTCTCTGTATGTGTAACATAATGGCCAAACAATGGTTGATGGATGACACACAATACAACTGCTTGGTTGTGTACTGAACACAATATCATGATGTTTCACTCCAGGAAGCTACATATTTATGTTAGTCAATAGAAGCTTTCATTAGAGTACAATCCACCCTGCACATGAGATACACCATATGGTGGCTAGCCGTCTCTGGACTGATGGAGGGCTGATGCAGCCACAGACATCACAATTTCTAAACAGCAGTCTAGCTGTCCATGACGAGGAGAAGGAAATATATCCTGTTCTGTCTGAAATATTAATCATTAAAACAATTTAAAATGGGCACTCAGGTGTAAAACAATTCTCAACATCAAGCAAGTGAAACAAAGACACACTAGCTGCGCGGTGACTCAACACTATCATATTCTCAGTCGAAGGTGAGATCAATATATCAATTTCTGAATGTAAAGTTAATGTGATACAGAGCTCTTGCCTTGGATGTGAGGCTTATAAGTCACATGATCACAAAACTGATATTCCTAAGTAATTTTGAAAACACATTGTGAAATTCATACATTTCTCACAAGAAACTATTCTCAAACTACCACAAGGATTGAAGAACTACATTTCTGGGGTTATCAGATACCATATACCGATATATATCAGGGAAATGACTGGATCCCGGGATATATATAGATGTGCTGACTTCCACTTCAGTTACACCAACTAGACCTCGTGACAGTCAAGAAGCAGCTACCACAACACCTTTCCTTATGTCAAGATTGGTGCTGAACACCTGGTATCATCACTGCCTGACAGGGATTCATGGACACATGCTAATTACATAGTCACAATTGTTCAGTGAATTCTGCTCTTGATACACATTTCTTGCTATGCATAATTCATTGTGTTGCTTTTATTTCACATAAACTGGAACAGAACCAAAACGATGACAGCATATTGCAGCTGGTGTCTTATTGTCTAACAGCTGTAACATTTCATGTGGTTAAATGAATCAAACACTTAAAATATAGCCACCACCCTTGAATATGTCAAAATGCAATGTAGCTCTGCTGATGTTTTT